CCCCCGACCTGCTGTGGGGCCTCCACTCCAGAGCTGTGAGTGTCCTCGGAGGGAAACGGAAGAAGAAACGGACCAAGGTTCCGAGGCCCTGAGTGAGGCTCTGGGTGTAGGGCTCCTCGCAACAGGCCTGGAGCGGGCAGCACCGGGGCCAACCCGCCCAGGCTTGCTCCCCGCCCGGCGCTCTCGCTGGAAATCCCCTCCCACGCTCGCTCTTTCATCGCCTTCCAGCCCCATAACCTTCCTGACTCACGGGGATCCCTTTGGTCTGGAGAGCGCCCGCTGCCCCCTCGCCGGCGGCCGAGTCTGGGCTTGACGGGCATTTGATCCCCGCGTGGGTCCGGCCGGGACGGGACCTGTGGACTCGGGGCTCAGGCCGGGGCCTGCAGACTCTTCCCTCTTCCCGGGTCACGCTGGCTGCTGGGAGCTCCTGTTTATGGGCAAAGGGGCCTCCCTGGCGTGACCCTGGTCCTCGGGGACCCTGGGCTGAGGGGCAGGGACATGGGCCTGGCTGGCCACTGGGGGGACAGTTCTCTCTCTTTTTAAAAAGTTTTAAAAAATATGTTTTTATTGATTTCAGAGAGGAAGGGAGGGGGAGAGGGAGAGAGAGAGAAACATCAACGATGAGAGAGAATCACTGATCGGCTGCCTCCTGCACGCCCCCTGCTGGGGATCAAGCCTGCAACCCGGGCACGTGCCTTTGCCTGGGAATCAAACCCGGAACCCTTCCGTCTGCAGGCCGACGCTCTACCCACTGAGCCAAGCCGGCCAGGGCACCCACGGAGGCTCTTAAAGAGTTTCGCTCACAAGGGACAGTTCTCATCTCCGTTCAGAGCCCAGAGCGAGCCACACCATGAGGCCGAACTCATTTCAAAGGGGGAAGAGACGTGTGACCCAGATGGGCAGAGAGAGTGCCCAGCCCTGCGGGACCAGCAGTGTGGCCGCCAGGGACCCTCGGGCGTCGGCAGGAGGCAGGGAGAAACACCCCCCTGGGGCCCGGGACCCCCTGGAGGAGTCAGACCCCCTGGAGGCTCCGGGGCAGAGGCATGGGAAATGCCCCAGGGCCTGTCCCGGCACGAAAATGCCCACGAAGGGCTTTGCTCCGACGACCTGCTTCCTGAATTTTCCTGGCCTTTGGGGCGAGTCTTCCTGCGCCCATAAACTCAGAGCGTGCGAGGCGGGCGGGTCCCCGGAGTGCGGCCAGGGTCACAGCATCAGCGCCGCCTTCGCCT